TAATTATATAATAATATATTACATTATAAATTTATAATATTATATGATATTAAAATTATAATATTTTCATTACACATATATTTCTTTTCAATCATAAAATAGAAAAAATAACTTCAGTAAGATAATTTAATAGTTAAGAATTTGAGGTTATAAATTAAAAATTTTAAATTTAACTCTTGAGTTGGGTAAAAAAAATTTAAGGATAAAAAAAAAATTTTATTTTTATATAACTCAAATTAGATATATATTAAAAAAAAAAAAAAGAGATAAAAGGTAACGCCGTAGGAGGGTAACAGTTTATGAGAGAGTGGGGGATTAACGGTATTCTTCAGCGGCAATCGAAGTCACGTGATTTACCATACCCAGTAAAAAAGAGATAAAGGCGCCAAAATCTCGTGATAGGTCCAACATAATAAACGTCCACGGCACGTGCAACACGTGTCTCCTCCTTCACACGTCCGTAATTCTCTCTCCTCCCCCTCCTCTCTCCCTTCCTTCCCCTTCGCTCGCTTATACACCAGCCCCCCCGCACACGCCCCATCCGTGCCAAACCCTCAAACTCTCACATACAGACACGCTTGATCCTCCGCACACGCGTGAAACCCTAGCCTACACGCGCCAACATTCTATTCCACGCGCCTTCTCTCTCGCCGACCTGACCCGACCCGACGTCGCCTGAATCCCCTCAACCTCGCCTTGTCCTCCTCGCTTCTTCCGCCCCCCTTCCGAGCTTCCTACGCTCATCGTATCGGACGATGCCGGAGAGATGCTCCGGTCGCCGGGAAGATGGATCTGTTGGTTCGAGAGGGTCTGTTGAGGACGAGAAGGTAGAAATTTAAGCCAAGTTGGAGAATCGGAGGCATTTTTTGAGTGTCGTTTCTTGCTAGGATTTTGAAGTTTGAGAATCAGGGGAGAAACTGGGTCTCCGTTTCAAAGGTAAAAAAGGGAACATTTTTGTGAAATAAAAGTAAGTTTTTCTTAGAAAATTTTGTTTTCTTAAACGATTCACCAACTGTTTGGAAAAATTTAGCCGAAGGTTTGAGGAGAACCTTCTCTATTTGCGTCCATATCTACCAGATGCTGAAGTTTCGTTTATTGATTGCTTTGAGAGAATTCAGCTCGCTTTTGGTTTCAGCTTAAGTAGAACAAAGTGAAAAAACATATCTGGGTTCTTCTGTTTTAATTTTCAGAACGAGAAATGGAAAATTGGTTAGCTTAGATAAGCCATGTGGCATTAGATCTTTCTGGGGCCTAATGTGAAGTGTTTGTTAGTGCCTCATATAATTTTCATTTCTTCCTCTTGAAGATTGTTATTAGGAAGATAACCGGAAAAAAATTCTTTTTAGAGGTAGTCCCACCTATTTCTCTTCAATTGATGGTATATATTTATATACATAACTTAAGTTATCATTCTTGCCAGGGTAATTAAAGAGTTAGCTGGGAGAGAAATGTCAGTTGGGTTTCTGAGTTAGTAAATTTGAAGAAAATAGAGAAATGATGAAGTAGTTTCTAAGTATAAGTTTTAAAGTTGGGGTGGGAGGTTATGGAGACAGATATGCAGAAACTGATGGGAGGCAGTGAAGAAGATGATGAAGAGGAAATGGACATGGATGTCAAAGAAGAGGATGACGAGGATGAAGAGAATGGAGAGAAGCATATGGGCACACAGGTAATGGTTGGGCCTGATGGTTTGATGACGGTTACTGGTAATAATAATCAGTTTAATCAGCAGCAGCAAATTCAAGAGCAAGTTGGTACCCCAGGAGGAGGAGGAGCAGGAGCTCGGAAATCTCGACCACTAGAGGAAAAGGAGAGAACCAAGCTTAGAGAGCGCCACCGGAGAGCGATCACTGCAAGGATCTTGGCAGGGCTGCGGAGGCATGGGAACTATAATCTGAGGGTCAGAGCTGATATTAATGATGTGATTGCGGCTTTGGCCAGAGAAGCTGGCTGGGTTGTTCTTCCAGATGGAACTACATTTCCTTCGAGAACTCAGGTATTTACCTGTCGAACATAAAGCCTTTTGGGTAATTTCAGCAAATTAGTGTTACCAATAAGTTTGCTATTGCCATTAGTTTATGTTGCCCAAGATAGGTTAACTTTTAATGTCTGTGAAACTGTGGATGGATATGATTCCACTGATGGTGAGATGTTGTAATGTACTAGGATCACCCTAAGCACTAAGGAGGAATGCTCTTGCAATTTGGAGAGGAGATGCAGGAAGTGGGAAATTCTATCTTAATAAAAATGTTTACTCGCTTGCTGGTTTTACTGTCATTTCTCATCATATGTGCTACTTCCTCTTATAATTATGGAATATATGGATTATTAATTGAGTAATTAATTACTCAATACTGATGAATGGCAAAGTATAATATTTGAAACATAAGGTGAATTTAAAAGTTCTACCACTTATGACCAAGCTGTATAATTTTCTTCTTATTGTGTACTTAGTACCACCTACTTTTAGATTGTAAGTGCCTGTTATTTATTGGCTCCTAGTATACATTGTAATGACCATCTAATCAGTCCTGCATTTAAGCAGGCTACTATTTAATGTTCTTCTGGTGATTCAGGAAACCAAGTTGTAATGTTCTCTTTGGCTTTGCAGGGTTCAAGACCTGTTGGTGGCACTTCTGCAGGTATTACTTCATCCTCATCCCATTTGGTGTCACCACAAACTCCTCCAGCCTCTGTTAGAGGAGTCTCTTCTGGCTATCGGGCCTCAGTAGAGTACAATTCCTGTCGCATGAAAGGTGTTTTCATGCCTACTCCATCACCCTATGATCTATCCTCAAGTGCTCGGTCTCAAACTTCTGGCATGGTGGGAGATGGTGGGGAGCAAACTGAAAGTCATCCTCTTATTGGTGGCTCCATGGAGATTGTTAATGATAAGCAGGTACTAGGACCTAGGTGATTTGATGCCATTTTTGTTTTAATTCTTGTATTTAGGGGTCTTCTATTGCTTAGTTGCTGATAACAAATGACATTCGGATAATGGATCTAGTATATCCCATCAACACTTGAAATTCCAAAGAAAATTTATGAATTGATTTTATCTTGTATTGCACATGTGATTTGAAAATAAAATATTAGCTTTTAATGCTGGATCAAATTGAGAATGAGATAGATGCGGTGCTTGCTAGGGTAAATTTGTTAATATTTTATGTCTAGGCCCATTCTTATATAGGTAATATAACCTGGTTGCTTTGATGTGATGGTACCTGGAGGATGGGTCTTCTGACATATTTTAATCTTCTCATTTGATTCCTTTGTAGATTGTTGACCTACCTTCAAAACTACCAGAGCGTGATTTTGCTGGCACCCCTTATGTTCCAGTATATGTTATGCTACCAGTGAGTTTTCTTTTCAAAACCTTCTATGTCTATATTTACATTGCATCATGAATTATCTATCTCCAGTGACTTCTATATTTAACATTTTGGGATCTATTTGTCAAGTTGGCATGGTTGATCTCATTTATTTCCTTCTGAGACCAACTTTTGAAATAAACCTTACTTTTTTTTATTGATACAAAAAGTACATTTTTTGAGGCCAATCTAAATGGCAAACATGACATCTTTTTAAGGTATTAGTTCTGTCTTACTGATTCACCTTAATCATGGCAGTTAGGGGTTATCAATATGAAGTGTGATCTCGTTGATCCAGATGGTCTGCTAAAGCAGCTAAGACTGTTGAAATCTATTAATGTGGATGGGGTCATGGTTGACTGCTGGTGGGGAATTGTGGAAGCACATGCACCTCAGGAGTATAACTGGAATGGTTACAGAAAGCTCTTTCAGATGGTTCGTGAGCTTAAGTTTAAGTTACAGGTGAGTTTTATCAAAAAGCTTTTTGCTTGCGGTTGAATCTGTTGTTGTTGCTATTGGAGGTAAGAATTAGTATCTACACCTGATACTGTTAAGAAAGAACCAAGACTTGCTGAAGTTCGTGTCCTGTGGTGAGGGATGGAGTGGTTTGGATGAGTTTTTCTTACTTCATAACGTATCAGAGCTTGAGTCTGGCTTTTAGGAAATTTCCTTGAGTGTAATTGAGAACATTTAATCATTTATTTAATGAATTTAAATAGTTAGTTTCAATGTATTAAAATTATCAGTTTTCATTTTAAGGCGAGTTGACTTTGAAGCTGTGTTGATATCTGATTTTATTGTGTTTTTCTGTTCTACAAGGTTTCTTATATAAGGTTTTAACTTCTTATTAACTTGTATGTGATGCTTCAAAAGATCCATTCTTGTTCTGATAGTTGCTTGTCCTTTTGATGATAATCATCAGGTTGTGATGTCATTCCATGAATGTGGGGGCAATGTCGGTGATGATGTTTGTATTCCCCTTCCTCATTGGGTTGCTGAAATTGGTCGAAGTAACCCTGATATATTTTTCACTGATAGAGAAGGAAGACGTAACCCTGAATGTCTCTCATGGGGCATTGACAAGGAGCGGGTTTTAAGAGGCCGAACTGCTCTTGAGGTATTAGGTTCTGATAAAACTGTCAGGCATTACTTATTCTTTAAGTTTATGTCTGGTCATTGTTGAAATGGTTAAATCATGTAAGCTGAAGCATTTAATCTTTTCCATGCTGGTGTATATTTTAAGGGTAAAAATATGTGCTATCTTTCGGTTGGCTGATGCAGGTGTATTTTGATTACATGAGAAGCTTCCGGGTGGAATTTGATGAATTTTTTGTGGATGGTATAATCTCAATGGTTGAAATTGGATTGGGTCCCTGTGGGGAGCTAAGATATCCATCTTGTCCTGTAAAGCATGGATGGAGATATCCTGGCATTGGGGAGTTCCAGGTAACTGTAAGCATAATTCAATGTCAATTAGGTCTTTTTTCTTGGGAGTAGACATGATAAGTTGTTGCAAGAGCAATAATTGATTTTATTTTATTTCTTTTATAGTGTTATGATCAGTATATGTTGAAAAGCCTGAGCAAGGCTGCAGAAATGAGGGGACATGCATTTTGGGCTAGGGGCCCAGATAATGCTGGGTCGTATAATTCTCTTCCACACGAAACTGGATTCTTTTGTGATGGAGGTGATTATGATGGGTACTATGGCAGATTTTTCCTGAAATGGTACTCTCAGATTTTAGTTGATCACGGAGACCGAGTACTTTCTCTAGCAAAGTTAGCTTTTGAAGGCATGTGTATTTCAGCAAAGGTGAGTTAGTCTATGCAGAAATATCTCATTTTGAATGAAAAGTCCTTCCTCTTTGCCTTCATAAATTGAAATCACTATGCAACTGCTTGTCCTAACTAAAGTAGATTTGCCACACTAATTTTCTCTAACTTTGAGCGCCGTCAATCACCATGATCAACTTTCTGAAATGGTAGAAACACTTATGTACAAAGTTATTCTGGTTTGCACTCACTTAGGATAGTCATTGCTGCTTGGACTAGTTAGGTATCCCTTCCCTCCCCCTCCCAACTTTTAATGAAGTTTTTTGTAATCAAAGATGCAGTTTGCTTGTCTCCTAGAACCTATGTGAATGTTATGTATGTTGTGAAAAGATTATTAAATCTGGATAAAGTCTCTTTGTCCCTCAATGGTTAAGTTCAATCGAATGCAAAATCTGTATCATTTTGTAAACTAATTTTGAAACTTGTTTTTCTATTAGGTCTGTTTGCTACATTTTGAATTTTAATTTCTGAGCAGCTTCCAGGTATTCACTGGTGGTATAAAACGGCCAGTCATGCTTCTGAACTAACTGCTGGTTTCTACAACCCTTGCAACCGTGATGGCTATGCTTCAATAGCAACAATGCTCAAGAAGCATGGAGCTGCTTTGAACTTCACATGTGCTGAGCTCCACTTTGTTGACCAGCATGAGGATTCACAGGAAGCAATGGCAGATCCTCAGGGGTTAATATGGCAGGTAAGCTCTTGAAACCTCTTCATCAGCTTCAGTTTTCAATTGATACTTGTATGCTTTTTTGACTTAGGAAAATAGGTATATGTTGCAAAGCACTGCTGGTTCTCTCTCCCTAAGCAATTTGAAGAATTAGCTTGCCATAAGTTACAATATATCATACTGCAGGATCAAAATTATAAGTTGAAAGGTTTAATTATTGTTCTAGGTGCTGAATGCTGCATGGGATGTTTGCCTTCCAGTTGCTAGCGAGAATGCTCTTCCTTGTCATGAGAGAATGGGCTATAGCAAGATACTGGAAACTGCCAAGCCAATGGATGATCTAGATGGAAGACACCTGTCATCTTTTACCTACCTAAGGCTCTGCCCGCTTCTCATGGAGACACGCAACTTCATGGAATTTGAACGATTTGTCAAGAGGATGCATGGTAAAGCACTTCGAACTATAAAAGGCTGCAATTTCTTTTTCTTTCTTGCTGAGTCAGTTGATATTCTGGAAAATGTGACCAATTTTTTGCTCTCATTTTTGTTGAACGTTTACTAAGTGGATCCTGTGCGATGTGTTGCATTACATATCTTTCAGATCATCAGCTCTATTTAGTTTTGCGGGCATTTACTACATTAGTAGAATAACAAATGCAATACAAATCATGCTTGGCTCATATCATAATTGCCTCTGCTAGATCAATGTGGTTCACATGACAGATTTACACTGATTCTATCTGGTTTTCAATTCAGGAGAAGCAGTTGTAGATCACCAGGTATAGCTGGGAGGAGGAAGGCTTTCTTAAATTGTGTATCATTCCCTTCACCCCAAGAAACAGGGGATCACATTGCAGATTAGGAATAGCATTACGAGTTTAATTTATGAAATACCATTGTAAATTGAATCATGTATGAATGCAACCAGTTCTCCTGGATATAAGCTTCTCCATGTGTTGACCTCTTGCAATTGATAAAATTATTAATTTGGTGGGATCTCTAATTGGTTGTGGGACAATTTGAAATTGAGAACTTTGTTATTATGGACTTGTGCCATCTCAAGATCATGACCGTCAAAATGAACATAAAGAACCCTCTACAATTGAAACAGAAGAATCAAATATCGAAAAACTGTTTTGCAATATAAAAGTGCAAAATAGTTGTCCTTTGATTGGGAGCCCTTGATGGTGGATCCTGCTCTTTTATCTAAGGGTTTTGATTTTGCAATACGGTATAGTTTGGACTTTGGATTGCAAAACAAGGAACCTATCAAATATTGCAGTCTATTACAGCTTCTCTCTCCCTTCAATGGGGAAGAGTTGAGGAGGTAGAGCTTTTCTTGGAGCTTGACCTCTTGAATACCATTTGACCAGACTCGTCTACCTCAAAAAGACGTTCTACAAAACTATCCCAACTTTCCTTCCATTTCTTAAAGAAAGGAGTAGAAACCTCCCCAGTGGATTGGGAAGAAGTCTCCCCTTCTTCCATCTCATGGAATGTTCCATATGAAGGTGGTAAGGAAGCCTGAGGGATATTCAAAGCAACTGCCCTCTGCAGAGCTGCCTTATACTCTTCGCTGTGTTCTAGAGCAAGAGTCTCTTGCCGCTCCATTTTTTGCGTTGTTGGAATCTGCATGATCCGATCTTTCTCAAGCATAATCTGAACTCAAGACAGGTAACATTTCAAATGCCAACCAAAAAAAAGGAGGTACCATTTCAGATTTTGCTATTGGAATTCTCTTTGGATTTCAGCTTCCAACTATTCTACTCTAAAATCTAATATGTAAGAGATATTTACTAACTACAATGACCCCACAGGAGCTAGTGAGAAGCTGAAAACTTACATCAAGAGCCTTTTGGGATTCTCTCTCAATCCAAATAATAGTATGGTCAGAAGTTGCATTACAGGAAAGAACTAAGTGCTCAAACCTTCCATCAACAGGTACTGCTGTTCTCACAACCGGGGGAAATCTTCCTATCCTGCAAGCAGGCAAATTGAACCTTGCTTAAAACACAGAACAACAAGCAATAGTTCCAATAGATCCTGCCAATCCCACTATAAAGATGACTATTAACTGGTTCAAGGGTAAGATATGGCATCCTTCACCAAAGCTTTGACTCTTTTTTTTCTTCTTTGGATCAACACAAAAGCTTAGACTGATTACTGTCTTTTATAAAACTTCCCTTTTAATTTGGTTATGCCATGGGGATCTAGACTTCAAATATCAATATTGTTAATCTTCTAGTGGAGGGAGAAGGAATGATAAAAACTGATAATTGATCCAGCCTTGTTGAGTAACAGTAAAACTGTACCACAAAGTGCATCTCGTAATACCTGAAGGGTTTCCTCTCAACAATGTGGTACAGACGACCAGGTGCATACAATCGTCTAGGATCTTTAAGGATCTTTTCCTCCAAAGTACATGTATCCTTCAAGCACATTAGGCAAAGCAAACATGGCAAGCTGCATATTTAAGAGACACAAAGTCAGCCTTTCTAGTGCAGATGTAAACTCGTTTATAAAATAAAGGGAGTTTGCTTTTGAAAGTCAGCTTCAGTACATTTTAATCAAGTGCAAAGGCAGCTAATACTAAAAAGGTGACTAAGACATACTATCTTTTACCAGAACAGTGATGTGAAAACATCTTCTAGTGCAGTGGTTGTTCGAGGTAAAAAATCATCCTGGTTCATTGCAAAAGCTCATGTTAGAACATAATTATACAAGTTATAAATGACAGTATAATACTGGAAAGAAAGCAATATCAATCATTTATATTAATCTATCCACAATTGGATCATCATAATCCATGTAAATAATAGAGGAAGTGCATCATAACTTGTAATAAATCTTTTCCATGAAAATCAATATCCCACCAAGGGCATATAAAAGACTTATATGATTTACCTGAAGCACTATAGAATTGATGATATTTGCATATCTTACAGCCAAATTTAGTGACATGCATCTAGCAGGAGCAATAGCATAGCATCTAATCTGCTTCCTCTCAATGTTACCAAGTTTGCCACGATTCTGAACTGCAATCATCACCAACAATGCTACCACACCTGCTCCTAGAGAATGCCCAGCAAAGGTCAAAGTATAACTTGGATACCTATCAAGTAACTCCTTCAAAAACTCACACTCTTCATCAAAGACCCATTTTGCTGCCTTTAATAACCCATTATGCACATAACCACCATCAAACTTTGTCTGCCCAAGTTTGTTATCAAGCAAAACTGCATAATCACTTTCCTTTGCCAAGTTAAGCCCCCTTATAGCCAGCACTATATCAGCATTAGCATGATCAAGATAAATAAGATAGGGAGGAGCATGACCTTGGGTTTCTTCATAGTCTTTTCTCAAGATCACATTATCAGGATCGATGCCATATCCTCCAGGGGGTGCCCAAATAGGATTGTGAAGATCATCTTCATAAACAGACAGAATTAGGCGACAAAGACGGGGCACAGGCTCAAATTCCTCAGCTGTGGCTAAACCCCAATGTTCACTTTCGTTGCCTGCACTGTAGAGGCATTTCTTCCACAGCCAACGCGCACAAGCCAAACAATACACGCCTTCGAGGATGGGAAAGCCACAGATGATTGACATAGACGCCTATGAATCAAACATGTTAATTCGCATTAACCTGATATGCATAAACAGTTTCAAACCAATTGGGTACCATTAATGAAGATGTTGAACTCTAAAGGTTAAGTACCCATCAAAGAAGCAGTAATACAAACATAACCCAAGAAAAGAAAAGCTTGAATACATAAGATGAAGAAGAAGAAGAATTAGTAGAACACAGGTTTCTTCTTCTGGGGTTTCTGGAAACAGGAAAATAGAGATACCAATACCATAAAAGTAAGACTATGATTACTTGAAACTTTTTGTACCAAAAAAGATTGAAAATTTAAATCCCAAAAGCAAAATTCTTAATCAAGGAAGATGGATATTGAAGAAACAAACAAAGTATTTGGTGGGGTATTTGAAAAATGGAGGTGGTGGGGTTGTTAGAGTCTACTTTTCCATTGGGGTTGGATCATTGGACCAGAAAAATTGCAGGCGGAGGAGCTTAGTGGAAGAAGAAGAACATAAACAGGTAAAATCAAAGGGGACAAAGACAATGAGGATTGAAAGAGAAAGAGGAAAGCCGGTAGTTGTGTACCTGCTAGTCAATTCCATTTCCTCCTACGTTTCCTTTGAGAAATAGAATCTACCACACAGGTATGCTTTCGATTCCACATTCCAGTATATCACTTTTCCCTTATT